TCTCATCACCGATTTATGCGTGTTGTGTTTTTTTTAGGGGCGTCGGATAAGACAGAATGTCGGATAAGCGAAGGTCGGTTAAACGAGACTCTACTGTATGTGCTATCTGAACTCAATGCTAGATTAATGTATTCTAGTTTTAAACAATTTGCATATGTACCAGTATGTTAAATTATGCCATAATTTAGGTTTACCACTTCTAGTTTTTTATTCCCTCTATGTCAAGTGTGGACTTTTAGGTGTATGAGAAATAACATTATTGATTTTTCAAATAAACAAGACCTGCCCCAATACACACAAATGTACATTACATATGTCTTTTAGAGTTACTGAACATTTTGTTGAATTTAGGTACCATTTGACTTTGATTTTCAGCACAATTAAACAATATTGTTATTTGATAGTGGAAGGAAGGAAATAATTAGTAAAATATTATAATAATGACAATCTAGGACAGAAATTCCTCTACTTTCCCCTCCAAAGAATGCTAAGGGACCTGATTAATTTTTGAATCCTTCCTTGCTCCCAGTAAGTTTCTCTACTTCCAGTTTGGTTCATCCGCTTACACTGTAGGAAAAATGCAAAGATCCTTTCCTTCCATCAACAGACTCCCTGTTCAAAGGCATCCATGGAGGGAGAGGATATCAAAAAAGTCAAGATGGGACTTACAATCACACAATAAAAACCTTGCCTTCTCTGCATGTACATGTGACGTTGAAGAATAGGGTTTCAATTGTGTGATTGTAACTTTGTTGAAACCACCACCACCCATGGATGCCCCTTCCATGTATTCTCCCAAAAGAAAATATCAAAGATAACCTATGCCTTTTCCTTTTCAGTCTTTTTTCTACCACATAAATGCTGAAAATCACACAGCAGATCTGGATCAAAACAGTAAGCACTGAAGTAAACTTCCAGTTCTCACTTATTATATTCACAATAGCTATTAAAGATATGGGGCACACATTTTAGTCTTTATATACGCATCTCTCACCCACACAGGAGGAAGTAGAAGCAGCAGCAGCAGCAAAAAATGCACCAAGATGGGCATGGAAAGGTACTGTAGAAAAGTGTAAGAATAGGATACAACACAGGCTTTCTGGGCAGACCAAAGACTTAAAAGTTGCCAACAACATAAGGAGCTCACTGTGTGTCTGCAATCTTAAAGAATAATTCACAAAATATTAAATAAAACAACAGGTTTTACAGTGCTGTATAAATAAACAATGAATCTGTAAGAAGCCCCAGCTACATTGTATAGCTTTCTTCCAATCAAATGCTTTTCAGCCCTTGTACATCCCATTTATTATTATGGGCCACAATTTGGCTTTTCAGTTTAATATACCAAAAGTACCTAATTTGTTTAAAACACACATTGTCAGTATTCTCCACTTCAAGGAGAAGCAGAGTAGAGGGGAAATGAGGACAGATGCAGAGGGAATGGAAATACTATGGTAAAACACCACCTTGGCCTTATGTTCAGTTAGATTATATGCCCAATGCTTCCATTTCAAACCAAGTGGAAAAAACCTACAGGGTGCAACATTTATCCAGCTGTATGAACTCTGCAAACCAGATGTTCTTTGCCAACAAAGCAGGATCAACATAACACTGAATCACTGTCCTCTGCCACCAGCTGGATCTGCTTTCTGCAAGTCAACTCTTGGAATGTTTACGCCTTTGTAATATAGACCATCTCTTTCATCACCTGCTTAGATCTTGCAGTATGAAAGAGGTTTGGCAAGATTGATGATAGCCATCTTCAACAAGTATTCCTGCTACAATATAACCATTAGTTGTTTGCAGAGTGTGAATGTGCTATGCTTTCCTCAGCCAAAACTGCAATCTAATCTCAGAGCAAGCTATCTACTTGATATTTTTTGCTATCATTTTTAAAACAAGAAAATTAAAATGAAAGAATTGAAGTAATGACTGCCCTACAGTAGTTTAAAAGCAGGCACTGTCAAATAATATAGTGCAAGTTATATGAGAGGGTATATATATATGTGTGTGTAAATAAGAGGTGAAAAACTGACCACATAATATCTCTCGTATGTTCCTGAACTAATAAGTGACAAAAACAATCTAACAGATTTCTTATATGCAAAAAAGGGAAATATTGCAGTAAGCAAAATTTCCTCTATATATATCTCATATAATACAATTACATTTAAACCAGTTTATTGGCAATAATAAAATATGGAACATTAAACAGATAAAGTAGAATATGAGTTCCAAATTTCTAAACAGCCCTACAAATGGGACTTTCAGTGACATAATATTTGTTCAAGTGTAGAAATAGAGATGAGTGCTTCAGACCATTGTATAACTAACAGAGAATAAGCTGTCCTTTCAGCTTTATGTATTTTTTAAAAAACCACTGTGAAAAAATGCAGAGTCCTGTTAGTTTGTACAAAAAATGTAGACATATACAAATCAATACATATTGCAGAACAAAATTAAATCTGAAATATTTTCTCTCCATACCCCATGCTTCTCTATACCCTTTAATATCTAAAGATTTAGAATATCTTCAGTATATTCTAAAACCATTTCTAAAAAGACATTAAAGTATTATTATTTATAAATAACATGTAAAATTTCCTAGAAGGACTCTACTAGAAAGGATCCTGAAGCACTCAGGATTACCAGCTTATATCTAGTCATTAAGAGCTGTTTTGAATGAAGATTTCACTCCTCTGCCATGCTCTGCTCTTCTCAAACAAAACAAAAGGAAAGCTAATTATCTGATCCTATTATTGAACTAATGTAGACTCCACATTCTACCCAGGTTCTCCAATAAAAGGACTGTCTTGCTATTTTCAAGTTTGATGCCTCCTTTATGTTAATTTTCCATGATCATAAGGAAAAACAACTCTCTCTTTATCATTTCAATGATAACTGGGGTGATAAGTGTGTGTGCCAAGAGATATATAGAATCTCAGTCAATTAAATTGAATTTAAATGTATTGTTCTAAGAACCCTCCCCCTCAATGGATAGATGGGCCTAATTTAAATTCAGTGTATGGAATAAAATGTGGCATTCCTTTATATACTGCTAAATATACATTTTTAGCAATGTAATGCATGTTTGAAAGTTGAATGAATGCTTAATTTTTACTTAGGAAGCTTCCACTGTTGGGGAATAAGATGGTTAATGAATGGCAAATTCTTCCTATGGGAAATCTGCTCTGTAGGCCATTTTGGCATCAATTTATTCGGCTCTCTTACAAGTTTATTTATGAGATTTATATCTCAGTTTTTCTTCAGAAGGTAGGAAATATAATGCTCCCTTCTGCCATTTTTACTCACAATAACAACCCTGTTATGTAGGCTCAAAGAGAAAAACTGGCCCAATATCACCCAGTGACCTTCTGGAGCTAAGTTTGGACTATATGTGGGCCCCCCAGTGCCAATCTGACTGTAGCTACTACAGCCAATTACCTTGTAAAGTGGAGAATTCCCCATCTTACTGTATTAGTTACCACAGAGTTATTCTGTCCAATAGCACATCAAGCCTGGATTGATCATCATGTTCTTATCTTTAGCAACTGTACATCTTAATTCTGAGAGCAAAGGAGAAGCACATACAAACTGCTACCAAGGTGGAAAACAATGGACTAATATTCACCTTCTACTGACAGGACTCAGAAAGTTTGTGTTTCTTGTGTTTCTATGAAAAATAAGCAAACCAATTTACAGAACAGAAAATTTCCACATGGGAGTGATTTTTGTATAACAATTGTATTTGTACTAAAATTGTGAAGGAGTCCTCATTAAAGTAATGGCATGATTCTGATAAAAAATAAATAAAAGTATACAATCCAAGAATGTATTTATTACCTGCAAGATATTCATCTTTCCTTAAGTTTATCAACATCAGCTAGAGGACCCAAGCCTGTTTAAAAAGAGAGAGTAACAAAGAGGTAAATCGTATTACTAAAGACATAACATTCCATATTCTAAATCACTGCAGCAGACATCAGACAAAAGCATCAATATTACTGAACTGTTTCTCTACTATGCATCTGGATTTCATTTGTGACTTAAATGTACTTTATTTCATAAACTCAGACCCTTTTTAATTATCAGCAAAATCACTCAGAAGAAAGCCTTGTTTCAAAGATCTGGACCACAAACATTTTTCTTATATATCCATCCACAGGGTGAGATGATATTCCTATACTGCTGACATAACACTGCCATCCGTAGGAGAAGTATCTCCACCATAAACATATAACTTTTACCAGCGCCCCAACTTAAAGCCCCTTGTCATAGGACAGCAAGAGTATTAGATTCATTAAGGCATGATGTTACAAAAAACAAAAAATTGGAAAGAAGGAAGAAATGTAAAAAAATTAGACCAGATCTTTCGGTATGTGGCCAGTAGTTCAAAGTCAGTCTAAGATATTATTTTAGATTTAATGTCATAAGTTTCATAGCCTGTATTCAGGGACAAAGGAGATGACTGCTACCCCACCCCCATTTGAAATGACAAAGGTCTTCCATGCCCAATCTAATGTGCTTAGAAAATAATACATTTAGCCACCAAGGGTACCACGTGCCTGCAAATGAACATCTATCATCTGAGGAGGTACTGTTCAAACTAAAGATTCACTTCCCGTAAACTACTGGTAATATTATACAATTTGACTTATTTGCCTTTATAAGTAGTCAAACATTCCAAATTGTTTTCTAGCTTTACTGTTAATGTTCTTTTATTTCTGCTCTAAGCCAATGTACTGATGTGTCTTGGCCGAGGCAAGAAATAGATTGGATACCATGTCCAAAGAAAGACTTACTCCCATTCCTTTATTCTGGACCAGAAAAAAGAGGAATACTACCAGTTTTCATGAGAAGAATTCCCAGTTCTGATTATATGATACACAGGCAAGGATTTATTTATGTAACATGATTTAGGTCCTGGTTTTCATTTAAAAAAAAAAACCTTGATATTTCATTTTTTAAAAACCTTGCTATTTCTAGGTATTCCCCTTGTTTTGGCATAGTGGACTGATTCGATATCCCCAAGCTGGTTCAGCAACACACACACACACACAAAATCAACCAAGCTTGTATTTTGTAGGAGACAACCTAGTGTGGGAGAGGGCAGCAGAATAATCCATATTCCATTAACTGCTAATATTACTCTTCTGTAATACTGTAAAAAACTGCACACAGCTGTCCTAACAATAGCTCTGTCATAATGGCATTTCCTGTGGCACAAAATACATAATTCCCTTGCCACAGAAATACTATTTGAGAGATAATGTTTAGATCCTGTACAACAAATTAACGATCACTATACATTCATTGCACTCAAAAAAGAAGTATCTGGAAAGGCCAAAGATCCATTGTTGCTGAGAGTGACTGAGAAAGAGGTCATGGGAAGCTGGTTTGCACAGAACGCATAAGGCCATCTCTAGTTACATTTAGAACGGCTCCAAATGCTCATAACATGGATAAGGTATTGCCAAGAAAATTCCATTCATTTTATTTTTCTCATGTAGTTAACTGACTAGCATCCCAATTAGCCAACTTAGTATGTTTCCATGTAGGATGGATAAACTGAATGTGTACTACAAGACCTTTTTTTAGAAAGGGAGAGGGCAAAAGAGCAGGGAGAGAAAACTGCAAAAATCTTTAAACTTTAAATTTTAAGATTTTTATTTTGATATATAACTGGCAGATGTTCAACACTAAATTTAAAGGGAAAGGAGCCAAAACAGTGCCAAACAAAGTGCCATATTGTCTATCCCTGGATTAAAATACAGAAAGCAAAAGGATGGAACTGCTGGGAAATTCTTCTGCACAAGCTACACTAAAATGAGCAGGAGCTGTTCAAGGGAACAATACCCTTTAATTTCACAGAACATTGTGAAAGAGAGACTTGATAGATTATTCTGAAATCCTGCTAGGCCTGCTACCCATGACAATAACAAAATCCACTGCCTAATGCAGTCATCTCTCCTTCACTCATGTAAAGACTACCTCTATCCTTTCTATACATTAAAAAGGCAGCATAGTAGATCACTGGCATGGAACTTGAGGCCTTTCCAGATGTTGTTGAACTACAAGTTCCTGAATAGCAGGAGCAGTAGTGAGACATACTGAAATTCAGAAATATCTGGACGGCCACGGGTTTTCTATCCTTATCACAGATCATTATTGTACTTTAACTGTCCATAAAATTTGAAAGGAACAAAGAAAATACTCAAATACGTGACTTAAAAGTTTGTACTAAAGAGTTAAGGGTCAAACAGTGAGTTTTATTGGTTAAAGTGATGGACAAAGCTGAATTCTAATCCCTATTTAGCCATGAAACCCATAGGATAATACATATTTTAGAGAGAGAATGTGTGTGTTGTATTTAAGATAGTATATACAAGACAGACAATCACTATCATTCCATTTTGTCCTACTTCATAATATGATTGTTTGAAATATAGAAGACGGATGGGAAGCATCACATATGACAAGCACCACAGGAGAAATGGCTGGATAACAAAAAATAAAAAAAAGAAAGAAACTGAATGAAGTAAAATCACTTATCCATTGCTACAGCATACTGATAAAATACGCCAACAGACTCTTTAAACATCTAAAGAAAAATACAAAGAAAAAAAGACCCAGCTCCATTCCATGGTAATTCATAGGACCAGAAGCAGGTATCACTTTAAATACAAGAATAAGTAAGAAATACCAACAAAAAGAATGTTTATGGTTCAGCCACTTACTCCTTAAGAAAGTCCTTTTATGGAACAACTGCACAGAAAAACACCTTGGCCTATCCCTGTTCCAGCTATTAGCATAAAGGTCTGTGTGTCAGAACTTGGGAGGAATAAAGATCTACCGTTGGACGACTCCAAGATCCACAGTGTTCCTACTATGACAGAAAAAGTAAAACAGTATTAAGTTAACACATTAACTCATTTCTTTGATATTTCCCAATATAACCAAGCAGATAGATATGGGTACGGATAATTCAAATCCTGAATTATCAAGAATACTTTGTTTATAGGGCCCTAAAAAGTAAAAGAAGAACAAAACAATCAGTGCCATTTCAGGATCAAAGTTCTGATGCAAACATACGTTCTCTGTGCCCCCCAAACACTCCACAAATATTCAAGGCTAAGGAATTATCTTCATGCTTTCTCACAGCTCAGAACACTAGAAAGCAAATACCAACATACATTGCTATGTATGCCTCATCGTAAGATATCCTCTGGATAGGACGTTCAGTTAATTATGCTCTAACAATACCCAGAGTGATTACTGGCATGCGACTACCTAAGAACGTTGTAATCTTCAGCCGGTACAAAATGAGGCCACTCAAGTAGTGGTAAGTGCTAGCATGACATCCATTTTGTATCAGTTGCACTAGTTGGCAATGTGTTTTGGACCCAAAGCTTGTCCTGCTTTCTACTCAGATAAAGGCGTAAGTTGATTATTTGAAGACTATCTTCATCCATAATGACTTGGCCTAGGACTGAGATCAGTATCAGAAGCCTTATCTATACGCTGACCTGAGAGTGTAATTAGGTTGGCAGGCATAATTCATGAATTCTCATTAGTGCCTCTCCAACTGATGTCTGCCAGCTTATTACAGACTTTAAAGTAGTCCTAAAGACTTGCCAAATCACTTCTACATCTTAAAAGAAGTTAAGATTTAGTACAATTTATTTATATATTCATTCATTCATTCATTCAATTTGTATGGACGCTCAATGACTCTGGGTGGCTTACAGTATTTAAAAATAAGATTAAAAAAACGTAACAAAATTATAAATAACATATATAGCAGCCAAAAAAACCCAACCAACACAGCTCTAGCCACACATACAATATTAAGATCCATATTGTGTTGACTGCATTTATTTGATTTTTATTGTTACTTATTATTATAGTTACATGATTTTAAATTCTGCTCTACATGCCTTTTGGAGAATTTGAAAAGCAGCTTATCAATCCTTGTACTAAGTTATAGGTGATATCGGGACTGTATTTAGGAAAGAATAAAGCCATGCCAATATCATATACATTTTAATTATAATGATAACAACAACAACAACAACAAGCCCATATTATTGACCCTCTGAGAGACAACTCCACAAGGCTCTCTTCTGCCCCCAATTGGCAGCTATTTGATCTCACAACAGGGAAGAGAGATGAGATGGCACCACCTCAATCAAAGGCCTCAGCTGAAAGGGCCCCTTCGTTGTCCTTCTTAAACTAATGCCTGAGCTTGATTTGATTTTATGTTTTTTATGTTTTTTAACCCTATCCCATTTTATCTTCTGTGTCATGCATTTCTGGACTGTAAGCCAATCTGTTCCTGCTTTTTAATGAGAGATGTATAACAGGGTTGGTGAGCTTAAGATTGAAGTCAACTTGCTTAAAATAAATAGCTAAATAAAAAATCAGACCACAACATATAAGAGAACCCAACTCATCCAAAAATTGCTACCATCAGTACTGGTAATATGACAGGCAGCAGCACTGACATTATTATACACGGCAGACAAAACAACCCATCTCTTTTTCCAATAAAACATGAGAGCATCTTCCTAAGTCATATAGCTAGAAATCTTCCTTCCTGGGATCGAGGGACAGGATCCAGAAATCTGCTAAACATAAGGCCTGGAATAAATCCTAGAGCGATGCAGCTCCAGGTACATCTGCTTACATTACTCAACCTTAAACATTAGTAACAGCTTAAATGTGAATATAGCATTTGTCGTTTTACATTGCCAATTCAATTCATATAGCACATGTTTTCATACACTGAGGGCAACTTATGGAAACACTGAGAAATCCTTGGGCAAAGAAAAAGAAAAAAAGCTGCAGCTATATTAGCTTGCAGCTTAAAGAAAATAAGAATGGGAGCTGTATGCTTCC